CAAAAATAGAATTTACAGGGTCCAATTCATATTCCAGGAGACAATTCAGTTTGAGTTTACCGCTAGGGGCTAAAAAAAATTCACAAATCCTTGCCACTCTCTCTCAAAGACCTAACTGCTCTCTAACCTCACTTGACACACTCTCTCAACCCCTGCAACCTCTCTCACAGACCCACAAGAAATGATCCATTTGCAAGCTTTCATATTCTTCAACAAGGTAAGTTTTTTGTTTTTTTTGCTGGTGTTTGCTTTTTTTTGTTGGTGGTTTTTCTTCGTCATAGTGTAAAGATTCTTCACTAGACAAGGTAGGGTCTCCCTCATACAAAATGCCTCATCTTCTTCAACTTGAGTATGGGTTTTATTCTTGTGATTTTCCTGTTTTTTCCGGTGCTGATATTTTTAATTACCGATACAAACATTTTTTTATATGATTTTTCCATGGAATTTGTTGCTTTTTTATTTTTGAATTATTTTATTGAGTATAGGAGCACAATTTGTTCTGTAGAAAAATGTGGGTATGTGTTTCTTTTTGTTGCATTTTTTTCTGTTGTTTTTTATTTATTGTTGGTTTTTTTCGTTTTATAGAAGCACAATTTGCACTTTATAGCACCCATGTGATATATTAGAGAGAGAAAGTCACTTTTTAGAGAGAAAGAGAGAGGGAGAGAGAGAGAGGGACTCCCTTTGTGATAAGATGTGATTATCAAATGTATTTTCTGTGTATCAATAGAAGGGAAATACAGGAATATATACAGAGAACTTACACGATTTCTCCATGAATTTTAGAGATAAATCTGGAGAGATAAAATACACGATTTTCTCCATGAATTTGGGAAGAAAATCTGGAGAGATAAAATTCACTTTTCAATATGTGTAATAGTTCCCATCAAGTTGGAGCGCGGAGGTTCTTGATGCCCAATTTGACAAGTAAGAATCTGAAATTCTCTCGACCCAATGCCTTGGTAAAGATATCAGCCACGTGGTGTGAAGAACCAACAAAACATGGTTGAATAAGGCCTTGTTGAAGCTTTTCTTGTACAAGATGGCAGTCCAGTTCTATGTGCTTTGTGCGTTCATAATATACTGGATTAGCCGCAATATGAAGGGCCGCTTGGTTGTCACAATAAAGAGTCATAGGCTCATTATGAGAAATGCCAAGGTCTTGAAGTAAAAATTTGAGCCATTGAAACTCACAAGAAACTAATGCCATGGACTTATACTCGGCATCACCAGATGAACGTGAAATTGTGCTTTGTTTCTTGGTTTTCCAAGAAATTGGAGAGGCGTCGAGGAAAGTGCAGTATCCTGTAGTAGACTTACAAGTCATTGGACAATTGGCCCAGTCATAATCACAATAGGCAGTGACATGAAGTGTCAGAGGCAGATAATAGAATACCTTGGCCGAGACTACCTTTGATATATCTAAGTAGTTTGAGGGCAGCATCCATGTGAGGTTTGCGAGAGTGTTGCATAAATTGACTTAGAATGTGAACTAAATACACAATATCTGGCATTATTATCGTCAGATAAATGAACTTGCCCACAAGCCGACGATATGGAGAAGGATCGTCAAGTAAATCATTGTTCGAATTGTTAAGTTTTAAATGTTGTTCCACTGGGAAGTTACTAGTGCGTGCTCCTAGAAGTCCCACGTTGTCAAGTATATCTAAAGTATATTTTCTCTATGTGCGATAAATACCCTTTGATGAATGAGCCACTCCAATCCCCAAGAAGTATTTTAGGGGACCAAGGTCTTTGATATGAAACTTACTATGTAAATACCGCTTAATAGTCTCAATGGAATCAGCATCATTACTCGTGATTAAAATATCATCGACATATACAACAATAAACACATAGTGGGACCCTAAAATCTTGTTGAAGAGTGAGTAATATGCCTTAGATTGCTGAAAGTCAATTATGTGTAAAACATAGGAGAACTTAGCAAAACCAATTTCTTATTGCTTGCTTCATGCCACATAAAGATCTATTTAAAAGGCAAACTTTGCGCTCCCCCTGTCTGAAAAAACCAAGAGGAATCTTCATATAGACTTCCTTGGCAAGGTCCCCATGTTAGAAGGCGTTATTAACATCAAGTTGTTCAACATACCTTCCTTTATAACGGCTAGAGCAAGTAAGCAATGGACAGTGACCAATTTTTCCATTGGGGCAAATGTCTCGTGATAGTCGAGGCCCTCCACTTGAGTATAGCCCTTAGCGACTAGACGAGATTTATACCGTTCAACACTTCCATCAGCATGGTATTTAACCATGTACATCCACTTACATCCAATGACCTGTTTGCCAAGTGGGAGAGATGTAAGGGTCCAAGTATGATTATCTTCAAGGGCTTTAATCTCCTTGGCCATTACCTCTCGCCAATCAAGGACTTTCACAGCTTGGGAGAAGGTAGAAGGTTAAAGAATGGTCTGGATAGCTGTAAGGAAAGCTTGATGGGAAGGTGGGAAATTATGAAAATCTATGAATTTGGAAAGAGGAAAAAGAGTACTTATAGTGCATGTCGACGAAGGAGACGGTGTGCATAACGGTGTGGATTGGGTATAGAAGGAAGGTTGGGAAAAGGAACAATAATAATCCTTAAGATGGACAGGTGGTTTATGGGCTCTAGTGGACCGGCGAGGTTGATCTTGGATATTATTACTGGGTAAAGGAGAATTGAAGGGCTAGGTGGGATCCGGTTGGGGTAAAGTGGAAGGGGGGGAAGATGGTGGTGGCGGGTGCAAGTAAATGTTTTGAGAAGGAGAAGATTGTGTCGGGTCCGAAATCGATGATGGTGGGCCATGACCAGAGCAGGTAAAGGTAAGACATGGTTGGGGTTTGTGGCATGGTGTTGGATGTTGGAATATGGGAAAACATGATCATGAAAAAATGACATCGTAACTGTTGTACGTTTGACGGGTGGCAATATCAAAGATTCGATAGCCCTTTTGAGCAAAGGGATAACCGATAAAAATACCCGATTTCGCACGGTAATCAAAATTGTTACGGTGATGAATATTATATGCAAAACACAAGCAATAAAAAACACAGACATTGTTATAGTTGAATTTGGCATGGAATAAAATTTCACAACGGGACCGATTATGCAATAGAGGGGAAGGAATGCAGTTGATTATATAGGCAAATGACACAATCTCCCAAAAATTCAAAGGGAAGATTTACCTGAAATCGTAAAGCCCGTGCAACTTCAAGTAAGTGACGGTGTTTACATTCCACTACACCATTTTGTTGTGGTGTAGCAACACAACCTGTTGGTGTATAATTCTTTGGCTTTGAAGAAATGGTTGCATATCTTTGGAGAAAAATTCACTCCCATTATCAGAACGAACAATTTGAATTTGGGAGTGGAATTGGTTTTTAACAAGAGCAAGAAACATTTTCAAATAAAAATTAACTTGAAATTTGTGTTGCATGAGATATGTCCAAGTAGCACGTGAGTAATCATCGACTATAATAAGAAAACATTTAGCATCACAAAGAGAATGAATAGAATATCCTCCCCAAATGTGTATATGAATCGAACAAAATGGAGCATTGGAAGTAATGCTACTTAAAGGAAAATGTAATCTTGTTTGTTTTGCAAGGGGACATACATCACATAATTTATTATTGGAAACTGAAATATAAGAAAAACTAGAAGCAAGATGATGAAGGCGAGAAGAGGAAATATGCCATAAACGCCAATGCCACAAATCGATGGTTGGGGAAGTAATGGTGAAGGCTGCGGGCATGAGTGGTCGTTGGAGGAAGTATAATCCACCTTGTTTTATACTCAATCCAATTGTCATCTTCGAGGACAGGTCCTACAAGATACATGAGTTAGGGAAAAAAGTTATGGAATAGTTGAGATTCTTTGTGAGTTGATTCAAAGATAAAGATTTTGCTAGAATGAAGGAATACAAAGAACATCATGTAAGGCCAAAGAAGGGGACAAATGTAATGAGCCAATATGAGAAATGTTGGCGTGCTGTCCATTCGGTAAAATGACATGTTTAGATGAAGCACGAGGGGTAGACTGTGATAGTAATGAAGGACTACCAATCATGTAATCAGTAGCACCACTATCGATAATCCAATCAGGAGAAGAGACATTAAAGGAAAAATAGTGCTTACCATAAAAATTAGCTGCAGAATTGGAGCTACCTAGGGTATTAAGAGAGAGAAGTTTGTGGTATTATTCAGGCGTGAAAGGCATGGTCTGAGTGAAATAGACATCACGGTCAAAAGTGGGCATGTTGGCTAGTAGGCCCACATTGGAAGGTGCTTGAGCAGTTGCAGCTACCGAGAAAGTGTGACGTTGTGGCTGAAAAGGAGGACATTGTTGACATCCACCTCATTGCTGTTGCCTGTTGTTACCTCTATATTTTGGAAAACCATGGAGTAACCAGTAGCTTTAGATAAGGTGATTATCACGCCCACAATGAGTGTAGCCTCTTTTTTTCTATTGTTGTTGTATTGAAGAAGGTTGAGGGGCTGGACTGCTGTTGCGAGTAGCAGCCATGGCAGAGATCTCAACCAATGTTTTTGATTGAACATGCAGAGTGTGCTACCTTTCCTCTTGTAGCAGTAGATTATAAGCTTTGTTTATTACCAGCAAAGGATCCATGAGAAGTATCTGGCTACGAATCGAGCTGTATGAATCATTGAGACCCATAAGAAATTGCATCAACCATTGTTGGTGTTCATAAGAAGCCGTAGATTTAGAGCGCCGCAGGAACATGGTGGAATAGCAGAGATAGAAGAAAACTCATCCCAGTAGGATTTGAGCTCACTAAAGTATGTGAGAATAGAAGAATTGTCATGCTGCAGAGTGGCAATACAACAAGTCAATTCAAAAATTCTTGATGTTTGGCTTTGAGAAAAACGTTCTCGCAGTTCAAACCAATCATCATGTGCTGAAACACCATTGTTGATCCTGTCAAAAATGTCTTCAGAGACAACATTAAGTAACCAAGATGCGGCCATATCATTGGCCCTATCCCATTGGTTAAACATAGAAGAATCTATAGTAGGTCGAGGGAGAGAACCATCTATGAAACCCAAATTTTTTTTGGCATTCAAAGTCATATGCATAGCAAACGACCAGTTGTAATAGTTGTCGCCAGTATGAACTTTTGAGACAAGAACAGTCCCAGAACCATCCGAATGGTGAATATAATATGGGGAATGAAAATAAGCATCTGTAGAGATTCCAGAAAGAACATTAGAAAGCCATGTCTCAGAAGATGGGGGTGGTGGGGATTCATGAGAAGAACCCAATGCAAGAGTGGGTTATGTCATGGCAGTTGAAGAAGAAGGCGAGCAAAGAAGGAAAGCGAAGAAGAGGTGCTTGTTAGGGTTGCATGACACACCTAGATCAATGGTCTCGGTCATTTACGCGGTGACTTAATTTATGGAATATACAACACTCTTCGTTGCACCCAAGAAACATGCACTCTCGCTTCTAATGAGAAGATGAACATTGGGGCTCCTAATGAGAAGATACTCCACAATAGAATTAATTTGCAAAGGAAAAGAAATGACATGAGAGGTTTTAGAAAGAAGAGAGAGAGAGAGAGAGAGAGAGAGAGAGAGATTAGCACACTGCCATACTGAGAAGCAGAAGTTGTGAATTCCTGTTGATTTCATGCCATAATTTTCTTGTGTTGCCGCTGTGCTTTCTACAAAAAATGGTTAACGCTCCTTGCATGAGGTTACCCAGTAAAAAGAGAAAAAGAGAAGAGAGAAACTGCCCAAGGTAAGAGAAACATGCAGTTGGAAACTTCAGAAAGAGAACAATGGTTCTGTCTAGAGAGAGAAACTAGATCTAATATTATAAAATTGTTGTCTAGAGAGAAGCTAAATACAAAATAAAGTAGGACTTTTAGAGAGAGAGAGCATAACCTGCTCTGATACCATGATAAGATGTGATTTTCAAATGTATTTTCTATGTATCAATAGAAGGAAAATACATAAATATATACAAAGAAGTTACATGATTTTCTCCATGAATTTGGGAGATATATCTGGAGAGATAAAATACACAATTTTCTTCATGAATTTGGGAGGTAAATCTAGAGATATAAAATTGACTTTTGAATAAGTCTAATACATTGTTTCTGCAATTTATGGAACAAAAACTCATTCCAAGTCTGCCATTTTTGTGAAGCTCCAAGGTTTGTTTTCATTGCGGAAGCCTTTGGTCCAAAGATTAAAGTTAATTTCATGTCCATTTGGATATGAATTTTACACTTTAAAATTTCCACTTTTGAAATTTTAGTGCAGTCGATCATTTTCAGCAATATCATCGAGATCTTCATTTTCTAAAGAGCAAATTGTAGTAAACTAATTAGTTTATTATCTTTCTATTTTGAGGAATTTTTGATAATTATAGCATTGATTTGATTTCTTTTATTTGGGGGATTTCAGAAAATTTATGAATTGTAAAATTTGAAATTTTGATGAATTTTGATGCGAAGGCCCCATAAGAGAATTTAAAATGCTCTCAATATTTGAAGTCTGAAAATTTGATGAGTTTTAAATGCTCTCCTTTTCTGATGAAATTTAATTATTACATTAAATTTCACTCCAATAGAAATAATATTGGACTTGCATTTCTCATTAAGTTCACACTCTTCCCTGTTATTTCTCATTGATTGCTTAGACATTATGTATGTCATGAGCAATGTTCAAAAAATTGACTTAGCCAAGATACTCGAACCTAGCCGAGGCGAGTCACTCGACCGAGTCCGAATACCACGGGAGAGTTCATATTGTACTAAAAAAACGGAATAATGAACGTAAATAAGGTTTATATATAATAAAATACCTAAACTTAATAATAGTATGCAAGTAGTGTACCGGTAAATTGCAGCGGCACTTTTTTAGACGAGGTTGAGGCCTCAAATCCTGCCCCCACTTGAGGCCAATGCTTTTTTAATAAAATAAAAACGTCGATTTTTTTAATAAGAAAAAAAGAGATCGTGCCCGGGAGTCTTTGAACCACAACCATGAGGTAGCATCAGTGTTTGTAGTAGCCAACAAGCCACTTGGGTGCAACAAGAAAAAGATTGTGAATAATAACAATATATAAACAAAATCGGTACATGGTAATAAGCCTCACTTGCCTCGGCCGAGTAACTATGTTGAGTCCGAGTCACTTTGGCCTAAATCCAAAAACTCTTATCTTTTTGTCACATTGATTAGGCATCTAATGACAGTTGTTAGATATATATTTTGACATTATGGCTACATTTGCCAGCAATAACTTTGGCGCAAAGCATCCTGAATTCCAACTTATGACCTTAGTTCCAGGTTTGATTAAATATTTTTTTAAGACGTACATCATTCTCCAACTTATGCCCTTAGTTCCAAGTTTGATTAAATCTTTTTTTAAGACGTACACCATTCTCAAAAATTAGGATCGCAGCCCTCCACCCCACCCCACCCCATGGAGAGCTATGCTTCGAAAGCATAAATCACACGACGTGGGAACCCCACCCCATGGAGAGCTTTGTTTCAGAAGCACAAATCACACGCCACGAGAAACCCATCCATGGAGAGCTATGCTACGAAAGCGTAAATCACACGCCATGGGAAGACAATTTTGTCCCATCACTTGGCCCGCGGAAAGACAATTTTGTCCCCCCATGGAAAGCTATCCTTCGGAAGGGCAAATCACACGCCACGGGAATCCCACCCCATGGAGTGCTATGCTTCGGAAGCGCTGCGAGAATCCCACCCCATGGAGTTCAAAAGCGTCGCGGGAATCCCACCCCATGGAGTGCGGTCAAATCACAAGCCGGGGGAATCCCACCCCATGGAGTGCTATCAAATCACACGCCGCTGTCAAATCACACACCGCGTGATTCCCACCCCATGGAGTGCTATCAAATCACACGCCGTGGGAACCGCAAATCACATGTCTTGGAAAGGCAATTTTGTCTCGTCACTTTATTTTTCCTCTCTTCCATCTCAACCAGTGCCGCAAGAAGACAATTTTATCTCGTCACTTTGCGCACGGCCTTAACCGTCATTTTACTTTATTTTTCCTCTCTTCTGTCTCAGCCAGAATTTTGTCTCGTTATTTTATTTTTCCTCTCTTCCGTCTCAACCAGTGCCACAGGAAGACAATTTTGTCTCATCACTTTGCGCGCGGCCTTAACCTTCTTTTTACTTTATTTTTCCTCTCTTCCGTCTCAACCACTGCCACAGGAAAACAATTTTGTCTCGTCACTTTGTGCGCGGCCTTAACCTTCTTTTTACTTTATTTTTCCTCTCATCTGTCTCAACCAGTGATTTAAAACATCGCGATCGCTCGGTTCGGTTCGTTCGGTTCTCTTCTCTAGAACCAGACTTTACTAGTGATTTCAGTTCTCTTCTCTAGATCTAGACTTTATTAGCGATTTAAAATTTCGTGATCACTCGGTTCCGCGATCGAAACTAGTTCAATGAGGGTGCACCGCAATAGTATGTGTCCTACCCGTTTTGGGTAATTTGGTCATAACTTGGTCTAAAGACGTCCGATCAAGCCGAAACTTGATCTTTGTGGGTTCTCAAACGTTTTGAATCCATTAGAAGTAGTCCCACAGTAGTTTGATACTCCACTGATAGAGTTATACTTATAAGGTCTATTTTCCAGCTACATCTGCACTGCCTTAAACATGCTTCTCCAACATCATCCATATCGAGGGGAGTAAGAGAGGAGAAAGGATTCTCATCATTGGAATATTGAGAGGAGTAAGAGGGGAGAAATGATTCTCATCATTGGAAGAGGAGTCTTCAATCACTTTCTTTTCTTTACCCCTGAGCTGGGCCTGGGGCATGTTTGGGGGTTCGGTTCGTTCGGTTCTCTTTTGTTGCATCTGCACTGCCTTAAACATGCTTCTCCAACATCTGCTTCTCCAACATCATCTATATCGAGCGGAGTAAGAGGGGAGAAAGGATTCTCATCATTGGAAGGGGAATCTTCAATTACTTTCTTTTCTTTGCCCCTGAGCTGGGCCTGGGGAGTGTTTGGCGGTTCGGTTCGTTCGGTTCTCTTCTCTAGAACCAGACTTTATTAGTGATTTAAAATGCCACGATTGTCCGGTTCCACGATCGCCCGGTTCGGTTTGTTCGGTTCTCTTCTCTAGATCAGACTTTTCTTCTATCCCGAGTCTGATAAATCAATTTTTTTTGCAAGGGTAATTGATATACTTTTTTTCAAAATAGGGGGACTGTATCCTTACGAGCTGATGTCACCACATTGACCGTCGCGAGACCCATGCCCCATTCAATTGTTATTAATGTGCTGGTCCTCATATATTTTATACACGTTAATTTTCGTTGAAGTTTTCGATGTGGGACAATTCCCATTGTAATAGTTTGAAAAGATAATATAGCCTTTTATTATGAAACTTAATACATAAAGTAGTGTTGTGATGTAGTGGTTATCAAGTATATTTTACACGCTAGAGATCTCTAGTTTGAACCTACACAACATTTTTTTTAAAAAAAAGTAAAACGTATCTCAAAAACAAATTTTTTTTGTCAAGAAATAAAATAAAATAAAAGGTACCAACATTTAAAAGGTACCAATAAAGCTTGTTTTAAAAAATAAAATGTACCATCTTCTTATTTTTCTTGTCAAAAAAAATTCTTTTTGTCAAAAAATAGAATAAAATAAAAGGTACCAATAAAATAAAAAATGTATCATCTTCTTATTATTCTTGTAAACAAAAATACTTTTTTCAAAAAATAAAATAAAATAAAATAAAAGGTACCAATGAATAAAATAAAGGACAAACAAAGGGCAAGCTTTTTTTAAAAAATAAAACTGTATCATCCACTTATTTTTCTTATCAAAAACAAATTATTTTTGTCAAAAAATAAAATAAAATAAAAGGTATCAATAAATAAAATAAAGGGCAAGCTTTTTTTAAAAAATAAAATGTACCATCTTCTTATTTTTCTTGTCAAAAACAAATTATTTTTATCAAAAAATAAAATAAAATAAAAGGTACCCATAAAATAAAAAACGTATCGTCTTCTTATTTTTCTTGTCAAAAATAAATTATTTTTATCCAAAAATAAAATAAAATAAAAGGTATCAATAAATAAAATAAAGGGCAAGCTTTTTTAAAAAAATAAAACTTACCATCTTCTTATTTTTCTTGTCAAAAACAATAAAACGTACCATCTTCCTATTTTTTTTGTCAAAAACAAATTCTTTTTGTCATAAAATAAAATAAAATAAAAAGTACCAATAAATAAAAGATAAGCTTTCTAGGCTTACCTTACAACATAAAACTTATATACTTCCCCTTATCCAACTGTCCATTCTGAATGGAGGGTTAAGATTACCCCAATCACAATTTCACGTATCCATTATTTTATTTTTAATTATTTTTTAT